AAAGCACACAGGCTAAAGAAAGTAAGGATTGAAGGGCAGCAATAAGGAAAACCTCATTCTTACTGTAGTGAGATGCGATAGCTACAAAACTGGGGGACTGAAGATGCTCCCATCCACAACAGCAAGGCTGCATTTGCATGGCTTTAGACAGCTGAAACTAAAGAGAGATTTTTATAGAGCAAAGTGATGAAATGCTTGTAAGCGGCTCTTGCTTTTCAGAGAAACCCACTGAAGGGCTGGGCTAGATGTTTCCCCTCTGGGGACAAAACCTGTTCCCCTCTGCAGACTTAGTGTCTCCTTATTTTCCAGTGAACAACTACATGGAGTCTAAGTGTGAAACCGTGCTTCAGGAAATGTGGAAGTGCTGCGCCCGGTACCCCAAGGGCAGATCCATCTGTTGTTCAGGGTTTGAGAAAGAAGAAAGGGAGAGAGAAAAGTTTAAGATGACTTCAGAAGGAATTCCCCCACCACCTCAATAACACAATACAGCTCCAGCAGGTGCCGGAGCACAGACTCACCTGCAGAGCTCGTGTGTGTTTTTCGAAGCCTTCTTTAGACTTCCAGGAAAGCCAGATCGCTCCTAGAACACACCATCCGGCACACCAAAAAGTATAATGCAGTACCAACAGATGGCCTGGTTAACAGACTTTATTTTCTGTACCAAAACATCATCTACATTGTCTTTGCATCGCACCTGTGTCTGTGAAAAGTCAACTTGATGTTTTTAGAATGCTTACCTTACTCTAATCCATCCTTGCTCTCAAAATGGAGAACTGGAACCAAGTTATTCTGGCTTTTGGAGCAAGAGGTACAGGAAATGAGCTTAGAAGAGTGAGTGAGTTTAAGCGGGACACATTAAACAAGCCCATCTTGACACAGCAAAAGTATTGCTGCCATCATGCAGTAGTTCCAGACAACATTTGCTTGTCCAGTGATTCAAGCTCAAGAATGGGAATCGGGTCTGGGGATTGTTCCTAGGTCTTGCATAGATGATGAGTGACTACAAGTCACTTTGCCTAAGTGCCTCACTTTCCCACTGGACAGACTTTTGGTTACTTTATATTTGAATTGCCTACACGCTGCTATTTGCATGACAAAGATGTTACAGAAACATTATTTCAGGGATTGCTACAGGAATAGGATTTTTTTTAAAAAGCAATATTCATTTGAAAGATCTGACTGTTGATATAAAATTTATAAATTTATGTATAATTGAACACCTTTAAGCAATATGTTACGAACCCAGCGTAGTTCAACCCGCTGGTACCCAGAGGCCTGTCACAAAGCACTGGGCTAGATCCAAGAACCGATTTAGGTGCTGCTTACTGAACAAGCAGTTGTAGGCACTTGCTTTCAACACAGCATTCCAGACTCACTCACAAGCTGGCTGTGTCTGGACCCCAGGGAGAGATGGCTTTTCAGAAGCTCTCACCTGTGCAGCAGAATTTCCTGTGACCTGTAGGAAGAGCTCGATAGACAGGTTCCTGTGTCACCCTTCAGAGCTGCCTAAGTCTCTCCGTCCCCTGTAGCAGGAGTCCAGGCACCTCGGTGGGTGCCAAGTCCATTACAGGGCCTAGGCACCTAAAATTCAGACTTCGAACCCACTAGGCCCCTAATTCTGTCATTAGATCTAGCCGTAAAGGACTTCTGTGCTGATCAGGTACAACTTACTCATGAAATACAGCTTCTATAAACAGACCACTGTAGTCTAGGCACAATAGTTGAGTGTATTGAAGCCTAGAAGAGCAAACCATCTGTATTCACTGCTCTGAAATACCATGATACAAAATAAATGACTGGAACAAACTGTAGTCTCAGTTTGGTTGTTTATTGAGAATACAACATAGCTGCAAGCTGGGCAGCTTGGCTGCCATTCACAGTCCAGAGCTACATGTGGTATCATTATGTTTAAATAGAAGCTGCTTGGTATTTTTATAACCGGGGCTCAGGATCAGAATAATTCAGGGCTAGCCTTCCCCTCCCACTCCCCTCCCCCGCCCCCAAAAACCCTTAAGACAAAACAGGAGTTTTAGTATTCTTGAAAAGTAGGGGAAAGTGATGACAATGTTGTGAAGCAGCTCAAACACTTGATAAGTAACTCATTTTTCCCTTTTGCTCTATCTGAGGAGCAGCAGTGGAAAGTAAGTCACTAATAGATGATAAAAAAAAATATTTAGGCTTCTGTTGCACCTATTAAAAAGAAAAGCCTCGTCTCCATGCCCATTTCTACTCAGGTGGAGCAAACTTGCTCAGCAGGGAGGAGCTGAAGCCAGGCTGACAGCAGAATCACTTCCTGCCACAGAAGCACCCCACCTTTTGGGAACATGGGTGACTGGTGCCAGGATCAAGGAGAGGGATTTATTAAGGCAGCCCATGGTTACCTGCAGAGAACAGGGAAGGCTGGTGGCCTCATGCTACCGGACTGGTTGTAACTGCTCCTGTGGGTCAAACGCAACATGCACGGTAAGACAAAACCATGCTGGTTCCCAAGAAGTCAACAGACCTCACACATAGAAGCTATTAGAGCAAAACTGTTTAATAAAATATCACTTCAACAAGCATTTACATACAATATATAAAAACACTTTAAAAGCCTAGTGTGTTTTAAACCTTCTCATACTGGAACAGACACCAGAAGTTATTGAAACAAGACCAAAAGGAGCAGGGGCAGGGAGGGGGGGAACACCTCATCTTGGCACCTGCAACAATGAAAATGCATTCCCACAGAGGTTGATTCAGCATCAAAGCTTCCAGTGTGGGCCCACAGCATCAAACGGTGCCAGCCACAAGCCTGACACTGGCACAGCAGAAAGATTTGCCAGATCCTAATGTCCATTCCCTGCCTGCATTCACATCAAACTCAACATTAATTTGTCATTTTTTTCCCCTTCCAGCAGCAATTGAGGTGTTTTAGCTCCCTCTCTGGGCCGTTTCTCTCCATAGCAGCAAGTCGGGACCCTGCGGAGCAGAACCCAGTATATCTGGGGTTGGGCAGAAATAGTGACTTATTTGAGCCTGAAAAATGTCCCTAAGGTCTGTTAATGATTTACTTTGAGCTTTGTCGTTAGAGAAAGCTTTGTGGAGATTAGTGCATCTCAGAAGAAGTTGTGTTATGCAGCACACCAGGCAGAGGGGCAGCAACGCTGTTTTCCTACAGGAAAAAGAGATACACTGCAATACAAATGTATCAATTCATGCACGTTCAGCCCTGCAGGGTTCCTACAAAAAAAAAAAATCAAACCAAAACCACCACCATCATCTGTCACTCCACTCCCAAACACCAATTTACTGAAGACCTATTTGTGGCATCACATTACTCCTGCAGTCCTGGATGGCTTTTAGGAAGACCATCATTAAAAGGTCGTGAACCCAGCTGCTCCTTCATTCTCCTTGGTCATGTATGGCAGGACAGGAACAAAGATACCAACTTCTGTTTCCTGATTACCAGCAGCCTCTTTTCAGATCCTGAAGGTGAGAAAACCTAAATCAACGTGTTGCTACACTGACACTTCAATCAACAGAGCTGAAACAAAATTAACAACTGCAAGTGCTCATCCCAAAACCTCTGGTGAAAGAACCCACAGTTCCAGCTCTTCCAGCAGCTCTCAGGGGAAGATACCCATTTCTAGCCATAGTGAGAGCAGCAGCGGATGATCAGAAAGGCATTACACAGCACTGGAGATAGGGTGCAGCCGCTGAGCCAGGTGCTGTGTCCTGATCACCCATGCACATCATCATTCCCTAGCATGTTTCCCATTAAAGGATGGGCTGACTTTCACACAAAAAAAAACATTCTTGGCAAGAACACCTACATGTACCTGCTGGAGGACATCACCCTGCCGTCATGCAAGTCCCCGCGCTCTGGAAAGTAGTAATGCCAGGCCAGCACAGCCAATGCAGAACACCTCTAAGGGATTTTTTTCTTTTTTTTTAATCTTTTCTTGTAGATTAGAGTTCTGCTCTGCACACAGCTGCACTGGGAGAGACTGTCCAAAACCAGCTGAGCTCTGCACCTGGGCTGCCTCATCACCTGCAGGAGAAGGGCTGCAGCTGATGGAATTAAGCAAGCAGGTTTTTCTGTGGAAACGGTAAACACAAAGAAGGAAGGAACACAACCAAGGCACAAAGTATGGAAATGAGCCACTCCTGCAAGAGCACAACCTGGTTTTCCCCAACAGTTTTGTCATTTCGGTTGCTTGCAGAGACCAGGGAGATGCTCTGCAGAGGCAAGTAAAGGACTGCACTCCAGATTTCACATTTTCCCCTGCCCCCACTCCAGTAGAGCTGGCAACAGGGACACTGTTAAGGTACAACGTACCTTAAACAGGGATGCATTTCCTGTCTACAATCCTGCCCACATGGTTACAGCTCTAAGAGCACCACCAATGCCAAAAAGGCCAGAGAAGGTCATGGTAGACCTAGAAACACCAGTCTGAGGCCCAAGGTGATTTACAGTAAGTGGCACAGCTGAAACGTACACAGCCTGTGCCAGCCAGCCTGACACAGACAGGTCAAGCATGCTGGAAGCCTGCCCACCACAAGAGAGCGCCTCAGCTCATTTCAAAGGCTGAGCACTCAGCTAGCAAGTGAGAAGGGCGCTCTACAGCCAGGAAGCTTGGTGACTTTCAGAACACATGATGAGGAAAGGGCCTGGAGAGTCACCCACGGTGCTCAGTTTCCGACAGCAGTGCCAGTGCTGCAATGCCAGTGCTGCAATGCCAGTAAGGGGTGTAAATAACAGCAGAGGAGAAGCCAAACGGCCATCTACATGCAGTGCAATGGCCAGGGGAGGGCAGGAGAATCCCCAGCACCACATATAGCATGAACCTGCTCCGTATCCACCTGCCCTGGACACAGCCCCTGACATTTCTGCATCCAGCCCAGGACAGCCAAGCACATTTTGGATTGCACACACCATCTCCGTAGAGGGGGAAGCACATTCTTTGCAGGTACCGGAGCAGAAGAAGTGCAAGCTAAATAGCGGTGAACAGCTGACAGCTGTTGTACACTTATACAGGCAGACAAATGTGCATGTAACAGCCCTGAGCACCTGGGAAGAAGTGCATTTGAGAGATTGCTCTGCCACTACATGTTTATGAGGCTGCAACTCATCAGAAAATTTGGGACTGGGCATATTTGGTGGGGAAAGGAATCACAATGATACACCAGGAGTCATAAGCTCTCAGACCAATCCCAGCACCTAACAGCCCAGACAGAGGAAAAAATTGGAAATCAGAAGCAGCGATGTAAGAAATAAGGGCTGCAACTTGGGAGCAGAAGGGACTGAGCCTGTCGGCAACATCCTTTGACTTCTAAGTGAGAGAGAACAGCAGTAGAAGAGGGCAGGGGAGGCTAGGCGCAAAGGGAGAGTCGAGCGCAGTTTTTAGGACGCCATTCCGAGGAGGAATCCTCCAGCAAACCCTCCAGTCAGGATAACATTCTTCTTCAGAAATATGATCACCTAAGCAGGGGAGAGAAGAGCCAACAGTGTTCAACAACAGCAGGTCACCCACCCACCCTCCCCATAAGAAGACATCCCTCAGGCTGTTCTCCAAGGTGAGTGATGCTCAGAGAGAGGCCACTGCTTGGATCTGGGAAAGTATCCTACCTAATGACCTCCCCTCCCTAATCTCCCCACTGTGTGCAGAGCTCCTGAACTGATCCAGTCCCAGTGCAGCCCAGATCCTCCAAGAGCTGCAGTCTGAGCCTACATGCTCCAGGGCTCTCTCGCAACCAGCACAGTCAGTCTGACAGAAGGGGCTGCTGACTGTGCATGCCAGACCAGGGTACAGCAGAGTCCAGGGTAACTAGACCACTCTGCTGCCAGATCTGCTTAGCTTTTCTTGTCAGACTGAAGAGACACTTCTCCCCACAAACCCAGCACGTTTTCTCCCAACCCCAAGAAATTTGCAGCAACACATGGTGAGCTGGTGTCATGTCTACCATGCAAGCATTCCCTCCTTGTATTTGCACAATGGAAGATCCATTAGAGCCCAGGAGTCAATCCCGTTTTCTGCTGTCCCTCCAGCTAAGCACCTGCACACACCCTCGGAGAGTTGTCTCACCTCATCCACTCTGCTTTTCACTTCCGGAGACATTTTGTTACCACTGCTGTGAAATTTCAGCTGCTGCTTGGCTTTGTTCACATCCCGTTCTACTAGCTTCCAGTCCACTTTGATGTATCCCGTGTGGTTTGCAATCTAGAGTTTTGAGGGGTGGAAGGAAAGTTCCTGGAGTAAAGTCCTGCGTGACCATACCCCACCCACCTTCCCTGATCACAGCCACCTCCCACACACTGGTCCAGTGGGCTGAGATGATGAGCACGCTAACTTAAAGACTGGACAAAGGACCACCCCTGTAACTGCATTAACTGTCCTGCAACATCTGTCTCCCACCGTAATCCCCTAATAGCAGGGCACACATTGCAGCTTAGTGTGTTTCAGCCTCTATTCTCTAATGTAAAGCTGGCATCACCTTCCCCTCACAACTGCTGTGGGTGGACACAGCTATTAATAGCCTGTTCCTCTCCAAATATTTTATCTGGTCAGGATGATTCAGCAGTGAAACTCTCCCTGGTCAGAGCAAGCTTTTGGCTTTCAGCAGAACAAGCAGAGCCAGGAGAGCGAGGAGAACGAGTCACACACGAGACAGTGCCTGAGAAGCAAACAAATAAGACTGCTGAGCGAGGCCCGAGAGCTGTTCTGCCTCCTGCAGGATGTACAAGCTAGGTGTCCACATCCAAGCAGCTCCCCTCAGTGCCAGGGTTGTTGGAAACCAGGAGAAATGGTTGAGGACAGAGAGAGACCTCCGTTTCTCTCCTCTTCCCCAATGCTTTACAGAGAGCCCCATCTGTGCTGGCCTGACTCCTCAGGTAGCCAGTTTGACAGGAAGTGTATCATAGACATGGACAAATCCCTCTTGACATCCAGGGCTGTTCCTCCAGGGACACCATTTCCACAGGCAAAGGACTAAGTACAGTAGCCAGTTCTGACCAGACAGTCCTGCAGCAGCAGTGCGGTTTGCCACAGCTGAAGGCTTCCTCCCTGCAGTAACCACCCCCACATGCCTTTGGCCTGGCCTTTGTTAGCAGACACTAAGCGGATAGCACCTTTTGGCAATCCTTAAGTTTACGCAGATTGATCCTGCTTTGCTGTTGCATCTATGTACCCCAGAGAACACACTCCATGTGTGTTCTATGTATCCCAAGGGAACACACGCCCTTGACATCTACAGCCACACAGAGCTCCTGGCAGAGCAGGGAACTGGTCCCACATGTCCCAACATATAACGATCACTAGACAGCCCTTTGTCCCCACCAGCACAGTTCTCAGAAAGCCTGGCCCATTGTTCATACACACCTGAAGTAGGAAAAAGCCACCTCCCACTGCTGTCGCAGCCAGCTTTCCAACTTTCTGGAAGATGAATCCAGTACACCTACAAATCAACCAGGGTCCAGTCAGGAGAATGAGATACTAAATACACACTCCTTAGCATGTATCCCACAGGCAAGGCTGCCTTTGGCAATAATTACCCAAGACTCAGAGACGGCCTGACGAACGGCAGAAGAAACCCACGTGCAACCAGAGAGAAAGAGAAGGGATTTGTACCCAGCCAAAAGTGACGCTTTATAGCTTTTTACTTCTCACTATCGCATTTCAGCCTTTTACGGTTTTGATTCTTATCTCTTCAACGTCAACCTTCTCCCAAAAGATTAATTGGAAACATGTGATTTCACCAAAATCAACAAGTGATTTTTAGCTTTTTTCTTTTTTAACTGGTATCATCTCTGAAGGGAAATTAGGCAGCACATCTGCTGCTGGTCCATGATAGAGCATGGGGAGCAGATTACAAGGCAAGCTTCTTTGTTGCCCAAACAACTGCTTACTTTTCTTTTTCATGTCTCTAAAGAGAAAAATGCTGAAACAAGCAGACAGCAGTAATCTAAAGCTATACCAGTCTCCAAACTAGGTTACACATTCTCAACATGAAAGACATCACTGCAACCACCAGAACTCAAGCAAGCACCACCCCATTGCTCAGTCATGCAGCAAAGGACTAGTGTATCACCCAAAACAGACTTTACTTTGACCACAGTTTCCTTATCAACACTGCAAAACAACACCGCAACCTGCTCTTACCCATTTCTGAATACATACACTTAGTGAAGAGAGAAGTGGGCAGCTCATATTTTTATCAGAAAATGAAGATCTGTCATACACTTTTAAATGGTTACCACTGTGCCAGACAAAGATGACAGGCACAGCACGAAGCAAAGCAGTGTGATTACACCAAGTTTTCAACTCAAATAATGCTGCTGTGGGAATAAAGTTGCAAATAAAGCCACAAGCACTTGCTACAAGCAACACGAAACCCCCGGAACCATGCCCACAGGAGGTTTTTGTGCAGATGCCTGAAGCACATCCACCTCCAGGGAAGAAGGTATCCTTGTTCCAAGGGACTCATATTTGCCTGTCCTAAATTCCACAACACCACTTTATGCCAGAAGCTAAAGAGAATTATCTCACCTCAAAAATTAAAGCCTGATGCCATTTTCTTCCCCAGGAGATAGTCTCAGTTTTTCAGCTCCATGTTAGAGACAATTTTTAAGACCTCCCACAGTTTAGCAGAGCATACCGGGGCACAGTGGGCTAAGCAAGCTAGACACCTGCCTTCTCTGAGACTGCCAGATGACCACCCTGCACCTGTCAGCGTGTTCCCAAAAGCCTGGCTAGTGCCCGCAGGCATCCAGCAACAGCAACCCCAGCACATCTTACCATCCCGTGACCCCTCCGATCACCAGCTGCGTGGCCACATTGTATTTCTCGGCGCTTGACCCCGAGCTGGGGGCGAAGACCTTGCGCCACCAGGGCCGGTTCTTGGTGTACTCCGCCAGGTCCAGCACATTGAACGAGTCCTCCTTCATACCTGCAGG